GCAGAAAAGCAGTTGTAAACCGTGGGCGAGGATATTTGCCTATGTCTAGGAGAAGGAAGTTTTAGATGGCCGAACCTAATCCTCTGTGTAGATTGACACGTTCAAATGCTTTGGGTGCTCCGCAGAGCCTACAGGTCCGCTGTTGCTCTGTTAGCGCCGCGCCAAAACCAGACAGAAGATTAAAGCAAAAGCCATGTCTTTCGAGAATTCTCCAACGGGTGTATGCACTCTTTCTGAGACTGACCAATTTCCCTCTTGAAGTATAATGAAAATCTTTCATGAGTTGTTTCAAACCTCGGCGAGGAGACAACGTACCGCGTGTCTCCCCCCCCCCCCCCCCCCCAATACGTTGGCACCCGTTGTTAGAGCCGTAATGCTACTCTGGCAACAACTGAGAATTAAGCAGAAACAATTCTACGTTCAGAAACAACGCGCGATAGAATGACTTTGACGTATAAGGCCCTCTCAACCGCATGAGGAAGCCAAAGGGAAACATAGCTTCTGAAAAGCGTTCCAAAGAGATATGTCTCCAATGTAAGTAAGAAGTTCTGGCCACCAGTAGCACTAAAGGTTTCACTCCACTATACAGACCTAAAGCCTTTCGAATTTACCCGGCCAACCTGCGATGTCGCGTACATGAAGACTGCGGTAGAAGAGGACTGCTCATAGAATCCGGACACCACTTCCACCACAAGAGAACTCTCCCCCACCTAAGTAAAAATCTTTGCATCGAGGTTAGCAATAGCTTTTCCGCACCTTTCAGCCCTAGATATTACTAGCCACTTTGGAAAGCGAAGAATCGGCGCAAAAGTCAACATCGTGGCATTTTGCACTTTAACAGGGCGAAGCGTCCCGGGCACTTGCAGGACTTTACGGAAGCGCCCAGTATGCTGAGCTAGCGCTTTTGGTTTTAATGAGCGAGAAGAAGAAGAGGAAGTTTGCAAAAAAGACATGAGTGACCACCGAAATGACCATGAGACGAACTAGTTCGAGGAACGGCCACACGCACGCCACTGCGGGCGCGTCGATGCGTTCGAATGAATTGCTCCCGCCGAGATATCGTGGCGCGAAAACAGCCTGCGTTTGAATGATGGTTTTTCAGCGGTCGTTTTAGGGTTTTTGCCGATTGCATGTATTTTTCAAGCCATATACGCTTTTTTCAGTGAATATAGGACTCAAAGAGACTATTTTTTCGAAGTAACTTGAGAGAGTGGCCGAAGCAACGTGATTCCTGCTACTTGTTCGCAAATTATATCGATCGTGCATGTTGTTATATGGTTTGTAAGTCCGATATACTGGGTTATTTTTTAGTTCTATATATACATCAGGTCGTTTGAGAAATCTCGTTCATTTCCACTGAGACTTCGAAATTGCTGAAACTGGGGAACGCTGTCCATACGACCCCCCCCCCTCCGGCCCTCTTTCCCTCCTCCTCATCGAGTCGAGGCCGTTGAGCCGTAGAGCGGAAGGGGGGTGTAAATAGCACATGTGAAACAAAAAAACCGCGATACAATAGGACACCTTTCAACTACGCCAACTATAGATTTTCCCCAACTTCCTGCCACTTTTTCCGAAATTCCCAAATCCCCTGGAAACTTCCCTACTTTTTCCCAAAATTTTGCTGTCGAGCGAGGGGGGAGTATAGTACGCATGAACGCATGAAACAGGAAAATCACGAAAAGTCAACCACCACTCCCACCACTCCTTATAAAGGCCAGAAGACCAGAAAGTAAATAGGACCCCCCTCCCCCCTCTCCCAACAATGAACCAAGTACGACCCCCTTTTACAACGTCCGTGAAGCGAGAAAAATCAACTATCAAAATAAATTTTTCTCAGCCCAAATACGACCCCCTCTCCTGGCGGCCAAATACGACCCCCCTGTTGGGGATTCCCCAACAACGATGTGCCCTTTTCACCTGCCCACCAAGAGGTCTTCCCCCCCCCCTAATGGTTGGGCAGAAGTCCAAAGGTTATCATCCCTTGAATGGCGGTCATTTCTTCGCAACTTCTAGCATTGAATACCATCCAACATTAATGAAGTTTACCGTTGCCGCTTGTAAAGAGCTTATCGGTAAGGCAAAATCTAGTGGACAAGGACGAATGGAGAAAGTGCAGCTGTTCAAGCAGGTAAGCGACAACTGGAAGAAAACGTGTGATACGAAAAATATGGTACAGTCTTGCCGTTTTTCGACAGCAAAACTAGAAAAGGGCTAGTTCCCCCGGCACGATTCGTGTGGTGGTTCAGTGATTTTGTCGAACTTACTCAGGCTGTGGTAGAGGCAAAAATATGGTAGTCTGGTTGCAGGCCATTCATATCATGAGTACACTTCACGCCAGTACTTGAGGGCCCACGCTGAGAGAGGTCTAGCCCAGAGCAAGGAGAGGGACGATAGACTGGGAGTCGTTGTGGAAAACGATACCCCGTCATCCGCAGTGGACAAGACTATGCAATCCACGGACCTTTTGGAATGATGCTTCTCGACTTTCAGGGTGCGTAAAAGCCGGATCGTAAGCCTAGTAAAGTGTGGCTTCTTGGACAAGCTCTTTTCAAACTGCTCACACTAATCATCCATGTAAAGATCAAGAGGAAGTTGAAAGTGGTTCATAGGTGTCTCACAAGGATTTTTCGGTGACTCCTTTTGATTTCTTCATTACCCAGCAATTCACGCTGCAATTTCACATTCGTGTAACCCCTTCCCACGATTTGTTGTCATAGAATGCGCCTTTCAAGAGGAAATACAGCGTAAAAACGGAACCTCTTGCATTTCGTAGCACTGCAGGACTTTACAGCACTCAGCACGTCGAAATGGTCCGCTATATTGGACGAGCGACTCTACTTATTTCTATACTTAGAGGGCGTTTCTACTTTGCGTCAGCGTTTTGTGCGTACGCAGGCTACGCCCGTATACGGCAACGTTTTGAGGAACCGCGGAAGTACGGACATTGATCCAGCCTCGATCGATCGCAGCCGTACTCTCGAAACGTTCATAACGTTCATACTTCGTGATCGCGCGTTCAGATCGCTGGATTGTATCCCGCGATCGGGGCGCTGAATTGGCAAAGTATGAACGCAGCATAGTGCAAATTGTGCTCACTAAACGACGGAATCAGTCAGTCCCTTTTGCAGGACCTCGGATCTCTCACGCAGCGATCGGATCGGTACCCCTATGGCCTTACGCTTTAAGCGCATCGACATTTGGTCATGAAAAAATTTAAAAAAATTAAGGTGTTCCACTGCACTGTGACGCGCTTGTAAAAAGGCCGCTGCCGTCATTGAAGTGCCCAACTTTGTATTCTGATAATCTCCTGACTAGTATTTTGATATTCTTGAATCTTTTTGCCTCGACTGTTCGTAATAAGACTGCCAATAATAAATCATCAAATCACTGAAACGGCGAATCTGAACTGCCATGGATTCTTGACATGTTTTTAGTTTCGTTTAGCTCGTCTGCAACATTTTCCGAAAACTCAAAGAAATTTGCAAATTCCAGGGTGAAGAACGATGAATCCTATTTCGTTCCCAACCACTCTGTCCGAAGAAGAACATGCACTGAAGGAAATGCATGAGAAACTGAAACTGATGGTGCGTAACGCTTTTTTCAGTTAACCTCTATGGCCAAGTTATGCTAGGTTGACTTGTGTCCACTTTCAGCGACGTCTCTTAGCAGAGCGTAAAAGTGCGGCCGCTGGAGAAGTGTCTACCATCGAAAAGAACAGAGTTAGGAAGTGTAAGTTGTCCTGTAATACTGCCATCTTTTTTCCAAGAATTTTCGTTCTTTTATAGCCGTGGAAGATGCCGCTTTTGCAACAGAAGAGCTCAAGAGGAAGGTCATCGCTGGTGCGATAACTGTCAAAAAAGTCAGCGAGAAGCACACATTCAAACGAGCTAAAGTTGAGAAGAAAGCTCGTTCGACCAGCGTTTGTGAAGAGGGCGAGATCGACGTGAGTTTATCCAGTATCTGAGTAGCTTAGTAGTATGTTCATACTTTTCCTGCACAATATTTGTTTCCGATCAGGGAGCGATTTCAACCATGCGAATAATTCAGCCTCAGTTACTTCATCTCACGTTCGGGTCTGGTGCAAATACTGTAGTCCATGTAATCCGCTGGTGGAGTACGTCTCAAATGAAGTTTTTATGGGTGTCCATCTCCAGTAGTTTTTCTAACTACCTAAACACGTTACAGAGTGTTATCTGGCGCTTACGAAGTAGGTGGGGGGACCATTTGATCGCGTCTAAAAGGTTAGGCTCCGAGCGCATACAGACGACCACAGTTTTTGAAAGATAGTCTTACAGAGAAAACACATTCTCCATCCTTCCCTTATCCTTGAGTACAATATGAGTCAAGGAGGCGCCAGTTATGGGAGATGGTCGTTAGGATCACGCAACGTCGCGCGCATGGAAATCTGCAAACACCGTGTGCTTGTGAGGAGCGCACGCTCGCGATAAACTCATTCCGATAATGAATGAGATTGTGTTCGGTTCAGTTTTCAGCCACGCTCTTCACTCTGGTAACACCCGTTATGTTAGGGCCGTCAGATTCTGTTGTATTTGCATACCTACAGCGATTAATAGCAATTGCGGTGCAGGTTCTGCTCGCGAATCAATCCAGCTCATTAGCTGGTCCACTAATCCATGGATGTCATAATGCTTTCTGGGCCGCATGCTCTCAGAACGTGTGCTTATTGTGGTATTGCTGAGGTAGACGACCTGTTGAAAATAATAGCAGCTAAATATCGCTGTCGCTGTAGGAAAACCATCGCGATCGCATGCCCATCGTAAGCTTACGATGTTTACAGTTGTCGCGCGTGATCCTACGGCTGCGTTCATACCGTGCGACGAGTCGTCAACGTCGACGTAACCGACGTTTTCGACGACTAGTTCGCGAAGATTATATATGTATCGATCCGACGTAACGGACGAAACGACGTTAAGCGACGTAAGACGAAGTGACGAAAGCGCGTAACCGACGAAACCGACGACTACTTCGCGAACATTAGATACGTATCGATTATCGAAAACGACGAAACTGACGATTTCGGCGACTGTGCCAAGAATAAGCTTTCAATCGATGCAACGAGCGCGGGCATGACTGCACGAGTATGTGCTTCCTGACACCTCTATCTTTTTGGGGGACCAATCTTGGCTGTTTAGTGGGCGTGGGGAATGTACGTAACCTCGCATCAAGGAATGGGACGTGCTCCAAGCGCACATACTCTTCTTTCCGGTTCGTCTGCTTCTTGGAAGTTCTCATAGGCTTGCTCCAATGCGGACAAAGCATTGATCACAGCAGAAACGTCGTTCTGAGCCATATCTTCAATAGTGTTATTCCATCAATAGTTCAACAGTTCAATAGTCATCAATAGTGTTCCCGTCCCACTGCCCACATTACCCGTTGTAAATGACTACCTATATTATTACTATTACTCTGCTATTGGTAGACCCACAATACGATGCTGCGGACGAACATACACACACACACATACTTACAATACAACAAACACACGAACCGATACACAATAAAATAGAAGGGCTTTGGTAGCTGACTGAATCACTAGCTATTCTGAATTTTGTCACACTAAGGCTTAAATGAGTTAGCCTAATCGCAATGACACAGCATATTGGTATGAAGGAAGTTCGGCGATTTTGAAAAAGGAAGAAAGAATAAAAATAAAGGAAGTTCGGCGATTTCGAGAAAGAAATATAAAGCCAAGAGTATCGGAAACATCTCTGCTGCGGTTATTCACCAGATGGAGTTTCTATCAAGGCACACGTGTTGCCAGTTGGGCATTGCCATATCACTCGATCCGTATCTACTTGTAGTCGCCGAAGGTTACGTCGGTTACGTCACTTTCGTCAAAAGCTCGGTTACGTCGCTTTCGTCGGTTACGCAGCTTTCGTCACTTTCGTCGGTTACGTCGGTTTCGTCACTTTCGTCGTCGAATCGATAGGTATGTAATCTTCGTGAAGTAGTCGTCGGTTACGTCGCTTACGTCGACGTTGACGACGCCGTCGCACGGTATGAACGCAGCCTACCGTCACACACCCGCTGCTGAGTGGTTCCCTACCCAAATAAGTTAGCGCCGCCCTATTTAGATATTTACCAGACTGCGCGTCCGGAAACAGTGTAGTGCACTGTCGTTCCACTTGCGATTTGAGCGTCCGGGTTTTGTGTGACTAAGAATGTGCAGGTCCCGATCATCAATGAAAACGCCGGCGGATGCTCGAAAAGCTGGCGTACCGCTCAAACGCTGATGTTTAAAATGCTAGGTGAAACGTACTTTATATACCATATCCTTCGAAACGCTGCCGTAAAATATGAACACATTCTAAATTATTTTTTCCTTTGATTTCATTCTGATTTCCATTCTCACAGTTGAACATAGTTTACAATAAAGAATTTTTTAGTCGTCTTCCGAAGCGCCATCAAGCCCCAGCACTCCAACTCCTTCATCCGCTGATGCAAGCAGTACGTAGCGAAACTTTTGCCCATTTGTGATGCACGTCGACGTGGTTGTTGTGCGGCTGCCTTGTTAGAGGTGCTTCCTGATTTTGGATGCTAATGAAATCCAAAACAATTATGCATTTATTATGTCGTTTTATTACGTTTAATTTTCGAAATTTCCTCACTCAATGCAAATTCAGGTCATCCTCACCTAAACGGCGATGTAATATTTTGTTGGTAAAGCGACTCAAATGGCAATTCGGCCAAGGTGCATTCTTCAAAGCGACTTCGTGCTGTGCTGGTTGTTAGTGGCTAGTTGAAATGCTGAGCAGTGTACTGATATGAGTAGATCACATATTAAATCGAGAAATACATCACTGTGTCGAATGTATCACTTGCAAGAGCACTGTACAGGGCACGTCCTGCCGCTGGGGTAAATTTCGGAAGATACGACCTCACTCCTTATTCCCTTCTCTGATTCGACCCCCTCCCCCTTACCCATCCTACCACTTTTCTAGATTTTCCAACTTCCTACCACTTTTCCGGGAATTTCCGAAAATTCCCTAGTTTTTCCGCAGAATTTTGCTGTCGAGCCTGGGGAGGGAAGGGGTGAAATCGACAGCACTTTGCATAATTGTATTCTGTGATGGAGGACGCAAGACCTGCCTACACTGGACTGAATTTGTACCTTGTGGAATACCATTTAACTAGCTGAATATATATCTCTGTATACAAGTCAGAAGTTGTATGTGTGTGTGTCTGGAAGACCGCCCAAAAGTTGGCGGCTACGTGAAAATCACTCACGTAGCCGCCAACTCCGCCTGCAGTGGGCGGGGTGTGCACCGGAGAAGACGGTGGTGAAGAACGCAAAACGCATGAGGAGCAGCCCAGGGAATGGGTAACATGAGTGAAGGGGATCAACGGGTTGCCAGATGAGATGGGGGAGACCCGTAATGAAGGAGTGCACCGAGTGAGTGGGGCTGCGATAGTTCATAATTTGCTTTCAAGACTCATGAGAATGACATAATCACAGGGTATGATCTAGGTGGATGGCGGCCGAAATGTAGATCATTACCTTTATTCATTTATTTCTTTGCTATCTATTGTAAAACAACTTATGTAGATGCATATTCACTTCAGTTCATCCACTAGACATCCGATACCTATGTACCATACATTGCCTGTACAGAACTTCCACAACTGTCTTTTTCTGTTATGCGACAATAATTCATTAAATGAAAGTATCTTTTAGTATCTGTTGATGCTTTGTTT